AGTGGTGCACATTATTTGTTCCTTGAGATTAGCTTGTTATTAATCTAGAATAGCTCTTTGCAGCTGAAACTTTCCGTGATCTTAGTACTTCAGTAGACTAATTTCGCTGAATGGACTATGCTTGTGACGTTCTTCTTTATAGTTTCATAGATTTTTCTTGTGAATAATGAGTCTGCTGGAAGGCCAAAACCTCTCAGCTTTATGGCGGTCTCTTTGAACAGTGTGAAGCTGGTCGCTAACACTGCTATACCATCGAGAACACTTTTGAATTGATACTTGGTTACTGGGGCATAATTGTCAAGCAATGAACGCAGGCAGTTATCTGCTGTAGGAGGTAAGAAAGTTGATAGGTTTGCTTGGATGTCATGCATTACTTGGGTTCAACTTATCATACGGATTTTTCTCTTAGTAGCAAATAACGATGTTCGAGACTTATATATCAAGATGGCATGTAATGCAGAAGTTATCCGATGCAAGTTCGTGAGATAGTCAAATACTATCATCAGGTCCATAAAGAATCCATTCTAAAATGGGACCATTTTTATGGGTGGGTGGTTAACTGACTGAGGTTGAAAACATGTATGAAATCAAGGGGTCTTGATGTGTATGGGTTTCTAGGAGAGTCAAAGTGAAAGTTGAACTCTCTAAGAATAATCAGGTTGCCACCTATCGAATTTCATTACTCCAGGAGATTCTGAAATTGACTGACCTCTTTTCCATTGTGAGTGTGGTTTGGATTAGTTCAAACGATGTGTGTGTGTCAGAAAATTGTGGTGTGGTTAAGATGTTTGATCATGGAGTTCTTTGCAATGACAGCAATTCCACTACCGCGAAAGTGGCAAGGAAATGATTTGATGTAGTAACTAGCAAGTGCTAGATCCGCGCACTTGGGCTCATCGCCTGACGCTTTGAGCCATGTTTCTGTCAGGAAAAAGATGTCGAAATTCTGATCGTAGATAATATAAACGATTTATGTGCGCTTTTTCGGTAGTCCTACTGAATAAATATTGAATCATGCAATACGCAATACTGAATGGACATTGAATAATGGAAACACATATGAACTGAAAAGCCAATGCATGATGTATACAATAACGTAGATGAAGACAGACAGCAAGCCGGTTAAGTGATAGCGGCCATCTTGTTAACTCCATTAAATAAATAAACAAAATAAAACCAATTTTTAGTTATATAGTTAAAAAATTTAGTAATATAACTTACCTTGATCTTACGTTGCGAGAATGTATTGTGTGTGTGTGTGTGTGTGTGTGTCTGAGAGAGAGAGAGGTCATTTTGAGATGATCCTCCATTTTAAAGCAATCGATTTACATAATGTCTCATTGTAAACATTGTAATTTTATCCCAAAGTTTATGATACTCTAAAAAGGGGTGGGTGGGGTGCGGCGATTGAGCACGAATGAATTGTATTTTTTTCATATACTGGTTTTATAGTGCAAATAGTTTAAGGACAAGTAAATGAATACCTGATTAAATTACCTATTCTTAGTATTGCAATGAATAAAAAATAAGTTTGAAAGATTGTAACGTACGTAAAATATTGCATGAAAACATTACATTTACCTTCTGTCTATAATTGTGGACTCAGCTTGCTTGTCGTTCAAAAAGAGAGCATTTGACCTTTATGTGCAGTTAAGAATTTAAAGAAAACAAAAATCGATAAATAGAGTAAAGCGATTAGCTATTTTGATACAGTCAACTGAAGAAATATGGATTAACTGTTACTTTCAACAAGTAGGTTAAATTATGTTTATTCATTGACTTCTACTATAGCTCGACAATATCTCTCTCTCTCTCTCACACACACACACACACACACACACACACACAATTACTATTTTCCCATCAGACAGATAAAGCAGCTGCCTGCAGAGATCGGAAATAAATCCAAAGCAATGGCAGATTTTAAAATATGAAAATCTGGATTTGTAAAAAAAATTTATTTCATTCTACATACAAAACCACTAATTACGAATTTATATTGAGGAGTTACAGTCTTTAAATAGTCGTGTTTTAAGAGTTTACTTTGAACGGTGGTGGTGCTGCTGCTGCAACTCTGACAGAGCCTGTTGACTGTAAAATCAAAAGTCCGTCGATGCACACACACATGCACGCACACACTGTCTTCTTTAATCAGAAATAACATCTACATTTCAGTCAATATGACCAATGTGCCAATGCATTTTTACCGATTCTTTTGGGGTCATTGTATTGTTATTCATGTTCTTATCGTTGACATCCTGTCGCCATCTTTAGTAATTGTGTGGGTAGATGATGAATTTTTAACATAGCTTTACAAATTTTCAGTCATATCGATACGATGTCTGCACTGTAGAAGTTTATAATGATGTCTAGCACTGCGGCATCATGCTGCAGACGAGTAGCATCATGTCTCACTCAGTCACATTATTCTGACACCAGGCAGACTACGCCTAACACTAACCTCCTAATGCTGAGCACATAACGAGGCAGCTGTTAATACTATTTGTATAAGTCTTTGGTAGAACTTGGCCGACGCTCTAACCCGCGACTTCCCGTTTCTGAGACGGACGCTCTAACCACTAAGCCACCGGAGACGTGTCCTTTGTAAGTATCTTGATGTGCCCTATTATATTTTACCGATTACCTACTCCCATGCAAAAATGTAGCTTACGCAAACTTTTTTCTTAGGCGTACGGATGTTAGTACACATATCTATGTGAAACACATGAAACAGAAAAAGATTTTCACACTCTTAAAACGTATCAGCGTATCTGCGTATAGGCTGCTACGCGTCTGGCAAGGGTACAAAGCCGTTTAGCTTTCCTCATACCATAAATGAGATATACGAAATTGTTTTCTTTTTTTTAAAAAAAAAGAAACAATTTTCTTGTACATCATTAATTATCCTTTGCAAGGCTAAAAAATCTCTGATTAACTTTCAGTTATCATTTACTGCAAGGGCACAAGTCTATGTATAGCTTTCCTCATACAATAAATGAGATATCCAGTTTCTTTCTCCTTATTAAAATAGATTGTGTAGCACATCAATGTATTTCAATCTGTTTCATCATAATCAATCGAATTATCCAACGTCTCTCCGTTGATTCATTTGATAAACAACATTAAACATAACAAAAATAACGGCAACAAGTATGGTAATTATTAATATGTAACGAAATATATAACTAATTTCTTCAAAATTTCTCAAATTCATATACAATACTTTAAAGACTTTAAAAAAATATCTAACAAAAATACATTTTGAAGAAGGGTTTCATAAGAATCTTTCATATGATATTCCCAATTTATCAAAACGGAAGAATGGATTTAAAACGAAGCGAAATAGAATTAACAGAACAAAGAGTAGCAACAATGAAATACCTTCATTTAATAGTATGTCAAAAGAGAAACACTACATAGAAGAACTTGAATCAGGTCTGTCTGCGGTGAAGATCAATATACAGACACTGCGTTCCGAGTTGGTTTTCCAAGGAAGATCACAGACAATCATGCCAAATGGTAGGATTAATAGCTATCAGTTAGCACAGCAGAAAACGTCTTCTGTTGCTAGCCAAATATTATGTCAAAATAGTTACAAAAGTAAAAGTGCAAAAGATAATTTGTGTGACAGTCCGTTTAGCCAGCGGAAATAATACTTTTTCGTTCTCTTAGTTAATTGGATGTGAAACTCTTAGTTTCTTGCCAAAACCTTCAGTTGCATTTTATTCTTGAATTTATTTTATTGACTGGCTTATAAAATGATATTTCTTTGATAGCCTTGCGATGGCCCTTGCCATCGGTATGCTTTTCTGCACTATATGTGTGGACCCTAAAGAGCACTAATCCTAGTCTGAACCATTCCTTTTTCATTTTTTCATATACTTGTGTTATAGAGCAAATAGTTTAAGGACAAGTAAATGAATACCTGATTAAATTACCTATTCTTAATATTGCAATGAATATCAAATAAGTTTGAAAGGTTGTAACGTACGTAAAATATCGCATGAAAACGTTACATTTACCTTCTATCTATAATTATAATGGAGGTCTCAGCTTGTTTGTCGTTCAAAAAGATAGCATTTGACCTTTATGTGCATTTATGAATTTAAAGAAAACAAAAATCGATAAATAGAGTAAAGCGATTAGCTATTTTGATACAGTCAACTGAAGAAATATGGATTAACTGTTACTTTCAACAAGTAGGTTAAATAATGTTTATTCATTAACTTCTACTATAGCTGGACAATCTCTCTCTCTCTCTCTCTCTCACACACACACACACACACACACAAAAACACACACACACAGAACATGCACACACCCACAATTACTATTTTCCCATTAGACAGATAAAGCATCTACCTCCAGAGATGGGAAATAAATCCAAAGCAATGGCAGATTTTAAAATATGAATATCTGGATTTGTTAAAAAAAAATTAATTCATTCTGCATACAAAACCACTAATTACGAATTTATATTGAGAAGTTACAGTCTCTAAATAGTCAGGTTTTAAGATTTTACTTTGAACGGTGGTGCTGCTGCTGCTGCAACTCTGACAGAGCCTGTTGACTGTAAAATCAAAAGTCCGTCGATGCACACACACATGCATGCACACACTGTCTTCTTTAATCAGAAATAACATCTACATTTCAGTCAATATGACCAATGTGCCAATGCATTTTTACCGATTCTTTTGGGGTCATTGTATTGTTATTCATGTTCTTATCGTTGACATCCTGTCGCCATCTTTAGTAATTGTGTGGGTAGATGTTGAATTTTTAACATAGCTTTACAAATTTTCAGTCATATCGATACGATGTCTGCACTGTAGAAGTTTATAATGATGTCTAGCACTGCGGCATCATGCTGCAGACGAGTAGCATCATGTCTCACTCAGTCACATTATTCTGACACCAGGCAGACTACGCCTAACACTAACCTCCTAATGCTGAGCACATAACGAGGCAGCTGTTAGTACTATTTGTATAAGTCTTTGGTATGACTTGGCCGACGCTCTAACCCGCGACTTCCCTGTTTATGAGACGGACGCTCTAACCACTAAGCCACCGGAGACGTGTCCTTTGTAAGTATCTTGATGTGCCCTATTATATTTTACCGATTACCTACTCCCATGCAAAAATGTAGCTTACGCAAACTTTTTTCTTAGGCGTACGGATGTTAGTACACATATCTATGTGAAACACATGAAACAGAAAAAAGATTTTCGCACTCTTAAAACGTATCAGCGTATCTGCGTATAGGCTGCTACGCGTCTGGCAAAGGTTCAAAGCCGTTTAGCTTTCCTCATACCATAAATGAGATATACGAAATTGTTTTCTTTTATTTAAAAAAGAAACAATTTTCTTGTACATCATTAATTATGCTTTGCAAGGCTAAAAAATCTTTGATTAACTTTCAGTTATCATTTACTGCAAGGGCACAAGTCTATGTATAGCTTTCCTCATACAATAAATGAGATATCCATTTTCTTTCTCCTTACTAAAATAGATTGTGTAGCACATCAATGTATTTCAATCTGTTTCATCATAATCAATCGAATTATCCAACGTCTCTCCGTAGTTTCATTTGATAAACAACATTACAAAATAACAAAAATAACCGGCACGTATGGTAATTATTAATATGTAACGAAATATATAACTAATTTCTTCAAAATTTCTCAAATTTATATACAAAACGTTAAAGATTTTTTTAAAAAAATATTTAACAAAAATACATTTTGAAGAAGGGTTTCATAAGAATCTTTCATATGATATTCCCAATTTATCAAAAAGGAAGAATGGATTTAAAACGAAGCGAAATAGAATTAACAGAACAAAGAGTAGCA